CTCCCTTAAATTTAACAACTGGATTTATCCACTTTTCCGTTACCAGGGCCCTGCAATAACAGTTTTTCTGCCGAAAATTCGCCCTTCTTTCGCGATGCATTACATAACTGTCTCTCTACTTCATAAGCCAATCACGGCGCACCTGCCCACGGGATCCCTCCTACATTATTCCGAGCATCCCGGCTAGACAGTATATAACGCCGGAGGCGTAGCATCACTGTCACTACCCTGAGGAAGCCTGCGATATGACTGACGAAACGTTGACCTCTCAGCCAACGACCGGGCAGCCAAGTCATGTGAAGAAATTGTTTAGAAAACAGCAATGAAATCTGACTCTTCGGGCAGGAAATACAGTGGGATGAAGATGAAAGCTATTTTTGTTTCAAAGGTAATGATCTGGTAAAGGAGATAATGATAATGACACTAAATATTAAGAACATTCTTTGAACCTACATCAGCGAGGCTGGGTTTATCGTGAAGCGCGGTCAAAATACCACAGAATTCACGCAATGTGACATTCGCATGATGATTGTCCACGTTTTCTATGGTATGTATGGAAAGGCGCCTCCGACGTCTCCAGCTGACGGAGCACCCAATCAAAGGTCGAAAGCAACCGGAAGTAAGGGTTTCTGATGTAAACCACATTGGAATAAATTGTTCGCATGAAGATACAGACTGTCACCAACGCACATTACACATACCTACACCAATTACATTGTTGATGCAAATTTCAGAATTCAAATTAATGCATAAAAATATTTATTTCCTGCTTTTAACTTCAGTTTTATGCTTAGTTTCTTATTTTCGTATGTAAAAAAATCACCAATTTTAAGTTCATTTGATTGATGAAAATGGAAGTCACTTTTGTGCAATTAATCTTCGCTAGACCTGCAACACTCAGGTGAGACCCCCGTTAAACAAAAATCATAGCATTGACTTAGATAATAATCTGCTCAAACGTTATGGAGAGTATAAATATATACCTACGTCCAGAATGAGAAATCAAAATATCCCATATCATAACAATGGGAACTGACAAGTTAAAAATGAAGAGTTCTGCTGATTAATATTGGAAATATTTTTGGCGGTGTTCTTTTTAACAAACGGAAACAAAATTTCGTTTTACGTTTTGTAAGGTATTCACTGCAAATTCCTGAAAATCCTTCCATCCTGTTCAAAATACTTATAAATTTTATTAAAATTTTATCTTCGAGAGAAATAGTTCCTTTTAGTTTTCTGCTTCTTCATTGAAAAGAAAAAAACATGAAGTAATGTATATTGTTAAAGTAAGCATACGTACAATACAATGCAATACAATAATTGATCGAAGGATTTGATTAACATATTAGTAACTATGAGTGCGACTAAGACTATCTTGCCACCGTACGGGTGCATACGACGTTTATACACTGCCGCATCGACTTCCGACCGGACGTTCATGTAGTCATTACGATCATGGAAAGACGTCATGAATGCATAAAGAGAACATCAGAAAAGTGTAATGACCCTCCAGAGAACAAACACGAACTGACATTTGTCAGTGAAATTAACGAAACCCAAATTTCCAGTTCATAATATATAAATAATACCTACTTAAATTAACCTAAGATTAGACGCACTTGAATAGCACTGCTAGTTAAAATCTATTTTGCTTCTGAGTTTGTCTTTTTTATATTCTCTTCCGTTCATCTATCTGCTTTACTCATTCATTATGTTATATCATTGGCCACGGTAAATGAGCAGATAAGCTAATTTTTCTCTGTCATGAAGTAAGTATTCCACTAATCATTCTCTACATTTGTGTTTAATCAGATTAGATAGATAGATAGATTTATTATTTCGCAAGTAGTTATAGAACCTGGTGCAGAAACACTACATTTTACATTATTAACAAGACTAAGAATAGTAATACACTGGAATTTTAAAGGCATTTCAAGGCAAATAGAGACAATAGAATAAGACAATACTAAGACAAATATAAACCAAAAGATTACTTAATAATTCTCCTTCAGATTGCTGATTAATGGGCCACATTGTAATTTTACGAACATATAATGTAAATTTTATTAAAATCATAAACCCTAACCAAGCTACGTCGGTTGTCTGCATTATTCATGTTATTAAAATGCTTTGAGATCATCAAATATGTTGAGCTATCTCTGTACTCACGCTAGATGTTGTTAAAATAACACTGGCCTACAAAGTTAATATTTTTTCTGTCTCAATAACTTTATGGAGTGATTTTTATTGGAAATTGTAGCCTTAATTTTAAAAAAAAACTATTTTCTTCTTTTCCGTAACAGTGGCTTCTTATAGTGAGGTAAATATTTTATGTTTGAAGGAAATTGATAAATGTTCAACATACCAGAAACCTTACGTTAGTACGTTTCAGGGACGTTGAACATTCACTAGAAACTGATGATTTCCTTGGGCGTTTTACGTCACTTACTTTTTAAGTATTTATCGTAAGTCAACACACTTGAGTCTTTCTGTTCTTGGTACCTTGTTTACCAAGCACCCCGTTCTTTACACCGGCCTCTGCCGCCTCCCCTTCCGACTTCCGCTCAGGAAAACAGCAGCTACGCACGGCTGTAGAAACTTCTAACCGTCGCGTCGCAAGTCACGAGTATGCCATGGCTAAGAGCTTTTAATCAATACAGTATAGTACAGTCACCTGGTGTTCAAAAAGGTCCGAATCAAGAAAAAATTACGAAAGAACTTTCTCAACGGATCCATATGTTTCTTGCAGTGCTGAGTTCGAATTTGAGATTTTCCACCTCGAAAAAGAGTCAGCTACGTAAAGAAAATCTCTAATATAACTAAATATTTCGCACTTTTTTTCTTCTTTTTCAGCTTTTCGCATGTACCTGAAAAACTTCGCGCCTTATCATAATTACTTTCATGTACAAAAATAAAGTGGACAAAATTATTTACAAAATCACGTATCATTTTTAATTTTTTAAAATAATTCTTTCTAAGCGCTAGAGCGCACTGAACATCAGCAACTTTTTGCCCCTCTGGTAAGAACGGAAGAAAAACCCTCTCCTGTCCTATTACTTCGCGGATGCCCTAATCTTCACATCACGTTTCAAAACGACTATGATAAATTAATTATTTAAATGATTAAAACTCCTTTACTCTAAGAAACTATAGGAACGCGTTTACTCGTGCGGGATTTCCATACCCCAGCCTTATGTAACAAAAAATTAACGGAAACGAGAGAAAAGAGAAGAGAATACGTTCTGTACAATGCGATATGTTCATTTAATAGTTTTATCAACATGTTACATCATGTACCAAATTATGATGTAAGAAACAATAAAACTAATGAGGAAATTTTGAATACGAAACAAAGATATGTGATTCGATTAGTTAATAAATATTTTGCACAGTCAGTTTTATTGTAAGAAGAAAACGAGCATCATTACATAATTACACGTCGAATAATCGATGTCATATTACCGCTCGTTTTAGGCTACTCCTGCCTATGACAATAGCAGAATTTAAGCAACTATCCTTTTCACCAGATTCACACAGCGTGCACTACAATGTAGTCATATTGCAAATGGTTTCTTGATATTTCTGGTTTTAATTACCGATTACATTTTATTATAAGTGGTGTAGCTTAGCATGGAGCCTCCGGCGGATATTTTCGTGTTAAAATTTTATTTGTGCTTTATAAATTCATAATAAAAATACAATGTATTACAATATTACTATTAGACTTGCCCGACTCGTTCATTTTTGGGTATAGAGAGTTACATGAAAGAGTATTGATTATACTACTTGTTTAATTTTTTTCATTACAAAATTACGATTAATCATCGTCAATATGATGAATTAAGTCATAACGATACTCGTAAATGCCGGAAAGAGTGCAATTATTCACAGCATTGAAACCACAAAAAAGCACACGATTTTCAAAAAATTCTTCCAGAATATTTTAAATGTAACCGGCTAAGAATTTTTGTCAATCGATTTGCTTTGTCGAAAGGAATCGAATGAAATATTAAACACCTCTGAAGGTGTCCCAAAACGCGTTTAACTTATTTCAAAAAAACATTTTTAGAGATATTTCTCAGAATCTTGTGAATGGATCAGCATCCGTTCCGCATCAGGAGATTGAAACCCGTTGAATGACACTTCATGTGTTTCGATTGGTGAAACTACGGGACAAGATATATTATTTCTTACACCGTGGTGAAACGAAAGTAGTCTAACCGCGTGAGTGACGGACAGGCGGAAGGGCGGACGCAAGTTATTCGGTTAATCTATAAATGATTGGCAGCGCCATCATGTTCATCTCTCTCCTAAGTAAACAGATGTAATTTACTAGTCTAGTGAATGCGTCGATAGTATTAAAACAATAAATTAGAATGAAACTACTGTAAGACCTTCAACATATTTTGGAGAAGTGCCCCTCCGATTCTTTCCCTGGCCAGGGACGCCTGTGCATTCTATCATAAGTAAGAGTGTTCAGCCTAAAACAAGAGGGGGCAACTACATTTCTGGGCCCCTTTTCCATTTCAAGGCAACTTTTACTTACATATGACTTTTTCTATCAAATCAATGAAAATACAAGAATAACGAAATTATAACTTTAACTAACAATCAATAAATATAATTGATTTTATGCTGAACCATTTAGATGGTTGCTATATGATTTCTGTCTTTCCCAAATAAACGTATCAATTCTCCAAATTGTCAGGTTAAAAAAGAGGAAAATTCAATTATTGAACATAATACAGAAATAAAATGTTTCTGTATTATCTGTAAGGCTACGGAGACTGCTTTCAGAATTTCCAGGGAGTTTTGGTCCCCCTGCCCCCTTTCCTACTGGACGAACGTCTATTATGGTCGCATACCTTCCCGAATTATTATCTGTACATAAATCATGAAGCAGGTCAGCCGAAAACGAACCACATAGATAACTTCTTGTATACAATACAGTCAAAGAAAGAGAGCATGACTTCTACACTTATCTTAATCAGTTTACTCACGTGGACGTGTAACATTCTCTTTGCTACGGAAGTCAACGTAGGGCACAAACGGCCTGGGATCTTGTCTTTTATTTCGAAAATCTTCTTTCGTCGGTCTTGCTAAAATGACAGCAATTCTGAAAAAAAAAGAAGTAGTCCGTTTAATGAGACAACGTAAGTATTTAGAGCATAAACGTCTTGAGAGAGATAAGCTAACAAAAATTAGTGTTTTCATTAAGCGCATGAAAAGTGAAAATTATTGAACTGTCTTGCTGATCTTCAGAATTTATCAGTAACATCGCAAAGAGAAATAATATTTATTCTCTTCCCCAGTCAGTATTGATTTTCTTAGCGCACACACACACACGCAAGGAAGGACGGAAACAGAGAGAATCCATGCTGCTCACGCAGCACTCTGCCCGGGCGGCAGAAGCTGGCAAGAGACCTGCGAGACCTCTTACGGTCTCCTGCCGCCCGCACACACAGTCTGCATTTTCGCTGAGTTTATCGCGACGCCAGTGCCTTTCCAAAGAGACCCCCACTGCGTCTCGCCATTGACTTGCGTGGTTGGTTGTTCGCGCTCCGTGTCCAATGCATTTGTATCTCCTGTATCTGACAACAAAGGTTAAAAAAAACAATTCGAAGCCAAGAATTGGCAGCATAAACAATATGTTGCCATTCCTTACAAATTCTGTTAAATTCTGCTATCAAATGTTACTCCGAGGAACAGCAGAACTGAGTGTGCAGGCGCTCCCGCTGCAGTAAGTACCTCCTCGGTCTCCTGGTTTCTTATCAAGGAGACGCCAAGATTCTCTCAGAGACGCGACAATTTCGGTTGTTAGTACTGGAGCGTCAAAGATGTTGCATGCATTTTCGTTTCGGCGGGTTATTTCATTTTTACAGCAGCACAAATGTTTTAGTATTATGTATTACAAGCGCATGTAGAATTATATTATTACATGAATTTGTATTATTTTCGAAATTTGTACAGGTCTATTCAAATGTTAGACTGTTAGAAATAAGAAATTAATAATATTAACATTAATAAGTGATCTTATTGATTTCTTTGAGATAATGTGTTCTCAAAAGTATGCGAGGATATAAATTTTGATTTTTGTAAAGAGATTGGTGGTTTGAATTTGAGGCCCTTGAACTGGGACAACCGAGCTGAGGGCGGCAAAAACGCGAGGAAAGATTCTACCAATGTCGGCTGCTGACCGCTTGTTTTATGTTTTATCGCCCTACTGAACTACTTTGTAACTTTTCAAGATTAAGCAGTAGGCGTCTTGTTGTTATAACGGAAATTTATGTTCTTTATAAACAGAGCCTGGAAGTTTACCAAAATGCCTTGTTATATTATTGTTAAGGTTTTATGACTTTTAACTAGGAATCCACAGTAGCATTTCTACGAGACTTCATCACGAGTAAACAAATCCATAGTCATCACATCGTGTGGTCGTATGGAATTAAGATTACAAAGAAGATATCATTTCCTTACCGTAAATGTTAATGCACATTTTAGAGTTAAAATAAAAATGTGAATAATTGTATTTATTACTTTTTATATAATTCCTTCTAAATGTGATTTTTCATTATATACGAGCTTTTTGGCACTCCTACTTTGGCCAGGAACCTGCCTATTTTAGTAAAAGTAAATGCTTTCCTGCTTGCATATTTTAGGTAAAAGTTATGCCTGAACTTCAGGTATATAGTTAAAAAGATCTGGTTTCTTTCATTAAAAGGTCCGGCACGACAAACTCTTTTAAGACGGCGAGCATTACGTCTCGTTATGTATAACTCAAAGCCTTTTGTATAACTTAAGCCTTTTTCTTGTAGATTCGGAGATCCTAGGAAAGGGAAGTTTCCCTTTCTAAAGAAAATCCTCAAATACGTAGTATATTACTACCAATTATGTTATAGACAAGCGAGATTATCCAACACCTGTTTATCATCGCGATTCGGATTATGATAACGTATCTTTTGGATAAATGGATCTTATAAGTATATCACCGACAGCCAAAGCGCGGTTCGTGATTCACAAGCTTCATCTTCCATTTTTATGTAGCTGTACAAAATTCTGAGGCTTAACCAAAAATAATGTACTCGCGTCGCAGTGTACGAGATGTGCAGTGGTGCGGGAGCGCGTTGGTATAGTTCGTACGGTTGTCGACAGGAATCGAAGCATCAAATAGTTGTTACCACCTGCCGTAACTATATACTCACCAGTGGGTGATCTGGGCTGTCCGGGTGACGCCGCGTCGGGGGAAGACCACGACAGGATGGTCGAAACGTCGGCAACTCAGCCTTCGACGCGGCGTCACCCGGACAGCCCAGATCACCCACATGACTCTGATCGCGGAAGCCTACGACTTCATTTAACCTATATACTCACCAGATATCAAGCAGTTATGTGCCAATTTTGACTGTCAGACTACACTTAATTCTTAATAAAATTCATAAAAGTTTTTGAAATTTAAATGGTTTGCGGTGTTTCAGTAACAGTGAATGAATGTATCGATTTATATATGAATAAGTTTTGTTATTCAGCATTTTCTGTTATAAATTCCATTTAAAAATATTGCGTTTAACCATTGAAAAATAAACGTGGCTTTTTCCAAACTCTTTTTTCACGATCGTGGCTCCCAACATTCTAGTAGCTGGTCACCGCTATTACATCGTTAATTTGCACTCTAGTCCTGATGGTGATCATTAAATTATATTAATATATTCATATTAGTTCATTTTGCCATTTTTCATTTTAGAACATACGGTTAATTGCAATTTTTTTTCATTCATATAAAGCAGAGTAATTTACCCATTTATTTTTTTGAGGTGTATAAATCTCAAATATAAGCAATTATTAGCTTTCTTGCATTTAACCTTTTCTACATTTCCGACTTCACTTTGATATTATAGTGATAATAGTTGCCTTTTTCCCTCAATTTGATTTTACGTAGATTTCGGGTTTCTGCACTTTTTTTGACTACGCATGCTATGAAGTAGGAGCACCCAAAAGAACTACCAAATCTCCAAAAATGTAATAGAAAGTGCAAAAAAGATCTCATTTTGTAATATTCTGTTTAAGAAACATTATTCGGGCCTCACGTGTTTCCACAAAACTCGGGCTCCTTTGGAACGCAAAAACCTGAACTTACTGGCATAAGTAGGCATAGAATACATTGTTTCTGACCCTCGCGCGATTATAACTTGTTACAATTTGCTTTTACGTCATAATCTACACACTTCAATTTTTTCACCTTAAATCTGTTGGATGAAGGACTGGACTATTCTCTTTCCAGCAATAGTGCATTCATAGAATTTTGTAAATTCTTAGGTTTCTTGGTTTCTTAATTTTTTTTTCAAAAATCATCTTTCATTCTTATCGTCTAAAGAGAATACTGTGCATGGAAGGAAAATATTACATCTTTTCTAGGCGTTTATTATCAAACAAAATGACCCTTGCAATTAAGTGGTACAAAGTAACAAATATCCAATTGAATTCCACATATATTTCGAAATTCTTCACGCTTCTCATCAAGAGTGAATCTAGGTAGACGTAAACCTCCACGATATCCAGAAAGACCAAAAAAGGTCTCATTAAGTACATTGCGCCCCGAAGGTCCGAAATTGGATTGGAAATGTCTAGGACGTGCGGTTTCCGAGTTAATGTACTGTGGTACGTGAGTTGCAACGTAACGAATATTGCGGATTGTATTAGCGCCTGCTGACTTCTTCATAGTATATTCTACAGAAATTTATATTTTTCCTTATAAATTTCTTTGATGCCCTCCTGGAGGAATATTTCCCATCCACCCCAACATCGTAGTTCCCTCCACAATTAGGTACAGAGCACTTGTAGACCACAGCAAAACGATAAATGAATAGTAACACTACACGCATAAGAAAAATCTTCATCAGTATAAAGCAACTATTAATACAAAACATCAATATTTTTCGAGATTTTACGGTCACAAACACATCTATAACATGCCAATGACGAAGTTGAAGAGTACGTACCTGCAATAACATTGATAATCAAAATTTCGTTAAACAAAATAGCACTCATTAAAATCTCAATAACATGAACTACATGAAAATCACTTCAACATATTAGATAACATCCTCCTGCAACTACGCCATTGCCCTGAAGAATTACCCAAAACGGTAAGTTTGGCGATTTGTCACGGGCAATATTGACAGAAAACTTTGACAGTGATTTTGTGTATTTGACAATTATTTGGGGACTTTTTAAATGTTTCTCGGAATGTGCGAGTTTTGAGAATTTACTATCAATATCAAGGAAGAATTTCCTTCATGAACCACCTGAGGATTAACTGAGTTCCCTTAGTCTGAGTGTTATGAATTGATCATTGTATCCCGATGCTGTGCTGTTATCAATTATATTTATCGCTACTGACAACTTAACCTTCGTGTGGAACACGGAAGGAAATTCTCTTACGCCGTGTGTGGATTCAAGATTGCATAGTTTAGTCCATTTGATTTGTTGATTAAAAAAGTAAAACTTAAAAATACTTTAAATAAGACAGACCCAAATTACTTGAAACTGCAAAATGATAACTACAAAAATTGTAAGACTTATTTAACTGGTTTTTGTTGTCAAATTTCCTAAGAGAAAACGTGAAGTTCACCCAACATACTAGCTCCGAGTATTTTTGGCATCCAAATATACAAATGAAAAACATTTTACAGTAAATTCATAAAAAATAATTAGTTGCATATTCATTTTCAAGAAACATTGCTTGAATATAAGCAAACAGGTCCGCAGTACATTTTAGACAATAAAAAAAAATATTTTCTCACAAAATGTAATTCGAAAATATCTATAAAAATTTGTTGCTTCAAGAAATCGTGAACGAAATTATTGAAAAGTAACAAAGGAAAACTAATTATGTCATTTACTGACGGTGCGTAATTCTACTACCCCGTTGAAGGTCGTCAGACTGTTCCAATACTCACACAAATATTCTCGTTATTCCTGTCAGAGAATACACCATCATTCGCCACCCCCAGCTGGCACCGCCTTGAAGACACGGTGCCCGCGGGGAGTCGAAGAGGACACACGCCAACGCTCACTGAATCACATGGTCCCCGGCGCGGGGGGTGGATGACACACACACGAGCGCGCACACACAAACGCGGAGGCAAGCGGCGAGCAGATGTGTAAGGAGGAGCACCCGGCACCACTGGCTCTCCAGCGCGGACTGGCGTCCCGCTCACGGAGGCTGCTCCCGCCGCCGCCACGCTCTCATTCGGCCCTAGCGTTAACCTGAC